CGAAATCTTTTGTCTCCATGATTTTATTATTGAGATGAATAGCAATAACTGATTGACCAACAAAAAATAATTTTTATTCGTACAACATGATAAAAAAAATAAATGGAAATCGTAGAAATAAAGCCCTCAAAATATGCAATTTGTATTGTCCGGTCAGCCCACGTCATTATGTAAAATGACTTCATTATTATTATCAATTTTATTGCAGTATGTGTACAATTGGAAGTAGTTTGAATAATAAAATGAAAATATAAAAATTAAGAAAACAAATTTAATTATGTATGTCTTTTATATAGCTGATTTTTTTAACACACGCAATACAATTCTGCCATCTACCTACGAGTATAATAATACGAGGCATACATGTTTATTTTCGTTTTTATGTTCATTATTTTCATTATTTTAACCCTTAAATTCGCAACGTATGATAGATAGCTTTCGATATTACGATAATTATTTTCGATATTTTCGAAATTTATTCAAATTAATGAGTGACTATTAAAAGTCACATACCCGAAAATTCATTAAAATTTAACTGTTAAATTGAGATTGACACTTTAACCCTTTTGTAAGTGAGTAATATTTTAATAATTTAATTGATAAGAAATTCTAAAGTATGTCTGATATATTTAGTTAAAAACTCTTATATTGAAATTCAAATCCGATTTTTATTATTCAATTAAAATTTACTACTCAGCTGTAGATTTTGCATACATTTTACAAGTTTTCTGATAATATAATCTACTCTTGCTTTAGACTCTAGACCTCATTCACAACTTCTCTTGCTCCTCTTAACGTTTCATGAAACTTTATATTCCCAGATATCATGTACAAATCGTTTAGGTTCGTTTTTTAAGGGTTAAATTTAATTTTAAAACCGCTGTTGAACATTCATTAAAAATTTTTGTAACTTAATAAAAGATTGATAATTATTTTGTTTTGTATTTATTGTTTACTTTTGTAATTTGAAATTTAATTATATAATAACAATAATAATTTATAAAAGAACAAAAAAAAAAACATATATTAAATCTCTGTAGACAAATTCAGCCCTTTTCTTCATTATTCAGAAATTTTGGAAAGAAAACTCTACGAGAATTTTGATATTAAGAACACCGCACATGATCGATTTCCAATTAAGATGTGAAGAAAATAAATACATAATTGATTGGATTTCACAATAAACTTGGGCTTTATTTTTAACCAGAAAAAATTTTAAACCCAAAATGCAGTCCTATTGAGCTATTGAGATCATAATTACTGAATAAGTCATTGAATCATATTACTGGATAAGTCAAGTTGACGTTGAATTTCATTTGAGCAGTACATGTTGATTCTACTTAATCAAATTTTACTTCTACTGGTAAGGATTAAAATTATTTTTCGGTGAAATTTACTTTTTTATCTCATTAGGTAACATTAATTAAAATACGATTTTGATAATTTTTGTACAGATACTTCCTTCACATGAAAAGGTAAGAACTATGTAAAATGGCTTCTTATAAACGTAAAAATTTTATTTCGAACAAGGCAATTGGGTCCCTGTATTTATGAAATATTTTAAAACCTATACATAATATACAAAATTCAATAAAAAATTGCAAAAAAAAATGCAACTATACAAAATATTTTTTTTATTTTGTGTTGTCAATGAAGGTCATGTTTCATTTTTATATTGATTTACAATAGCATTTTAGCGGATAATTTTCTTTTTTCTTCTTTTTTATATTTTTTAAAATAAATGACGATTTTTTTTCCTCAAAAAGGAAAAACAATGATAAAATTTAAAAAATGATGAATTGCGATTTTTTTTTTCGGTTTATAATTTTGTCAATTTAAATCTACATTATATACGTGAGTCTATAAATATTAATATACAATAAAATAATAAAAAAAAATTAAATTTAAAATAAAATGTAAAACAATTGAAATAAATTATTGGTAGTAATTGCGGTCGCGATTAACAGTTGTAAAATGGTTTCTTTTCATTGTAAAATCAATTTTTGACAAACAAAATTTTAATTATATTTCTTTGTTTTTAAAAAACAAAAGAGATTATATAGCTTAATAAATTTAATTGTAAATGTTTTTATAATGCATAATAATATTTATAAAAAATGTATTTTTTTTTTTTAAATTATAAAGCAAATTAAATTGTGCAGAAATTTGTTTTAGCTTAAATAATAATTTTATTTTCTATCTTTTTTTAACATTTTAGAATGGAGCTTGGTAATCTGAATGGTCATGCATATACTGGAGACGTTATGGAAATTTTGTAAAATCTATTACTATCCATGAATTGTATGTGTTGTAAAGGTAAGACTGAATATTGATGAAGACGATATACTGTTTTTTTTCTGTACTTCTCTTTTTCGTATTAAATACTGCTATGAATTTTTTAGGTTATTTGTTAATTCAAACAACCTATGGCTATATAATTTTCAAAACCAGTTAATATACGTTACTAGCTCAAAACAGTGCAATAAACAAATCGTATAATATTGTATCTTTAAAATTATAAAGCGGAATTGACTGTTTGGGATATTGACTGCTTAAATGATTTTAAAATGGGTAGTTCTTTCGGAAATATATAACAAAATTAATCAATGCTGAAAATACATATTACTGTAGAATTAATGAAGGAGAAAATTTAGCTCTTATTAAGGAACATATTTCAAATAAAATATTTTTTTTAATATAACGCATTTCTAGTATAGTATTGAAATCAAATCTGTAAGCGTCATCATAGTGCGGCGAACCGAAAGGCCCCTATGATAACTCATTCATTGGATTATTGCTGATCTCATTAATTTTTTCAACTTAAAACTTTTCTGGTTATAATCACCTATTGAAGATATTAAATATTTATTTTTTAAAATTTATTTTTAGTGCACAAAAATCTCAAGAGTTTATTCTTATTTAAATAGAATTCAACAAATGTACTCTACTTAAAATTTAGTGAACTACATTTAATTAATTAATAAATACCAACATCTTAACCCATTAAGAATAATTGCAAATACTTTTTACTTACATTATTTTTTTAATATTTATTCAAATAAATTACAAAACACAAAGTTCAAGAAGAAAAATTTTGTTTTATAAGATTTTCAACAAAAAGAATTAATATTAAACTTGTAAATAAACTTGTTATCATGGTATTACAATTTTAAGAAATTTTTAAAAGGACGAAATACAAAATAAAAAAATAAATAAATTTAAAAACCATTTCCTTAAGGTCCTTGTTTTCACAAACTATAAAAAGCTAACTTTATTAATTATTATTCTTTTAAAAAAATTTTTTTTTTTTTGTAAAAAAAATATTTTTTACTTTATACACTTACTTAAATACCGCTACAACTCTTAATTACAGTTTTGAAAAAGTTTTTTTGTTCTTAAAAATTATTTTCAAACTTGAATAATTTCCACCTAATTATTTTTCAATTGCAAAATAATTTTCATTAAGAGGAGTAAAATCATCATGTATAACGAAGAAAAATTGAATTGAATAAGCTGGTGATTTATCATAAGGTATCATAATGGTTTCAAAGAAATTCTTGTAATCTATTCTTATATTAAAAAAGCATTGTGTTTAAATTTTTTGGTGGAAGCAAATTAAAATATTATAATAACAAATTTTGTGGCGATTATTTAAATTTTCATAAATGGTAGGTTTAAGACTTACTTTGCATATCGAAATTACTACAAGGTAGCTCTAATAAAGGGCCAAATTAAATTAACAGCATACATTTTTTAATTGTATTACGTAATGCCAACTAAAATATATTTTCAGAATTTTATTTCCAAAAATTTTATTTTCTTTCGAAAAACACAATATTTTTGTACTTAATGAATATTATAATTATTATCGCTAAAACCAAATCTTTTAGAACAATTTTTTTTTTTGTAAAATATTTGCAAAAAAAAGGAAATTTTTTTTTTGTTTTTTTTTTTATAAAAAGTTTATGTTTCTCATACTAGGAACGCGAAATATTCCGCGAACTTTGTATCTTTTCTATTTTTTGTTGTGTTTTTTTTTTACTATCGAGTTCTATACTTTGCTTTTCTTTCTAAAAAGAAAAAAAAAATAAAGAAAAAACTTTTTATCTCTTTAAAGTTAAATTAATTTTTCTTTATTTTCCGCATCAGTATTTTCTTAATAATAAAAGTTTTTCTTTACTTCTTTCAAAATAAAGAATTAATATCTTAGTTTATTATCGGTATAAGTTTCTTAATATTTATAATGTAATATCATGTTTGTGTGTATATACATCCAGTTTTTTTATATTGAAATATGTACTTGAATAAGTACCATGTTTATAAGTATAAAAAAATTTTTCATCAGATACTACGGGTAATTATTAAATAAGAATGAGAATAAATACGATTTATTAATGAATTTGGTGTTGTAAAATGCAATATAGCATTTCTACCAACACTCATATAAATAATAGATGTGTATACTTTAATCGTTCTTCAAGAACTTATAAATTATTGTAAAGCAATAAATTAAAAATCATATTCAATTTAAAATATAAACACGTTTGAATGTTACCCTATAGGACAAAGCTGGGATTCTAGTACTACGATGTTTCAGGTCATTTAGTTTTAATTTAGTAATAAATTTGCATTACATTTGATTATTAAGCGGTAATTCTAAAAATAGTTCAGAAATACGTTTAAAAACTTCTTGTACAGACAGGATATTAATTTTGCATTTTAAGTTTTCTTTAAACATGAAGCTCCGGAGTATTTAAATCAGCAGAAAAATATAATATACAAAAGACGTAATTTACATTTTCTGTAGCCTTCCATTGATTGTAAAAATTTACTAAATTTTATTTGTTTTATGGTTTTGTTTGTTCTATGGAATTTTATAATAATAAAATCATAGGAAATTAAAACAAGCGAAAAACAATTCTTTATTAAATCAACAAAATTTACTCATTTGTAATTATAAACAACATTTCTCAATCCTAACATTAATTGCATTTATTCAAAAACAAAATCAAATTTACAAAATCAATTTTTTAAAATAAAATCATTACGTATAACGTATACAGTCGTTACATGCATATTTCTTTTTAGAATTAAATAACATTCCCAAAAAAGTATCTTTATAGTAAAACATTAATAATATTATGCTCAAGTAAAATAATATAGACATAATCACCTTAATAAATATTACTATAACAAACCCATTGAAAAAATATTTTGTTAAAACAAAAAAAAAATATATATAATTTAATCTTATTTTAAATTTAAAATCAAAAACATAATATAATATGAAAAAAGAAAACAATACACCTATGCTAGAGTAGCTCTTTTGGCAACGAAATCAAAATCTCTTGAAGAATGTTCTTTGTTTGTGAATCGTGCATATCTAAAATGGAAACGATTTTGTATTTGAACAACAATAAAAATATTTAATTCAAATCACTTACAATTTATTATATCGATTAATATCAGTCAGGCTTAATGTTGGCTTCGTATCTTCTAAAGCCTTAAGTAAATGTTTTTGAGAAACATATATTTTTTCTGGTATATTCTAAAAATAAAGTTGAGTGAATTAAACAACTGAAGTTCATAATAAATATTATACTAAAATAATTACTTCTCCATTAACTTTATGTAAAATTTCTTTAACAGCAATCATATTGGCAGTTGTTAATATACTTTGGATATCTGCACCAGTAAAATTAGTAGTCTCGTCAGCTAAAATACTAAAATCAACAGAATTATCAAGATTTAATGTTCTTGATAAAACTTTAAAAATTCGATATCTAGATTTTAAGTCTGGAAGTGAACATTCAACTAAACGATCAATACGACCAGATCGTAATAAAGCTGGATCTAAAAGTTCAGGACGAGATGTTGCTGCAATTACAGTTACACCCTGAAGTCCTTCAACACCATCTAATTCTGTTAATAATTGGTTAACTACACGGTCGGTTACACCTGTTGAATCATGACCACGTTTCGGAGCCAAACTATCGAACTCATCGAAAAATAGGACACATGGTTTTGCACTACGTGCCCTGAAAATTTGTTTTTGTTTAATGCCAATAAAGCTTAATTAATATAGCAGTACATACTTTGCAAATAAGTTTCTAACATTTTCTTCACTTTGACCAATGTATTTTGCTAAAAGTTCTGGACCTTTTACAGATATTGTACGCAAATTCCATGTATGAGCAATTTGAGATACCAAAAAGGTTTTTCCTGTTCCTGGTGGACCAAATAATAATACACCTGCTTGATTCCGTAATGGAGAATCTTCAAAGATTGAAGGAAACTGGATTTTTTTTTAATTTAATAATGGAATTTTAACAATTTTTCAAAAAACATTTATACCTTAGACGGCCACACTAAAACTTCTTCCAAAACTGTAACAACATTCTGAAGTCCTGGAATTTGATGAACTTTTAAAGAATCATCATTATCCTTTGTTGATTTATGTTTTTGAACTCCTTGCAAACAATAAGAATTTGTATTCTCTAGTGATTTTTCCAGAAAACTGCGAGTCATTACTGGACTCACTTTATCTATTCAAAATTTAAAATAAACAATTAAACATGCATAAATAACATTATAAAATATAAAATATCTTACTGGCTCTATAAGCATAAAAAATTGCTCTTTCAACAAATTGAACTAAATCACCCATATTGTATCCTTCCGTCAAATTCGAAAATTTTGTGTAGTCTAAATTTTCGCAATCAATATGACCACACAAATTTTCTAAAACGATTTCGCGATCATTCCGATCCAAGTCTGGCATTTTTGCTAATGTATGAAATAAATGTCGTCCTCTTGGTGAATATAAACGCTTATTTAAACTTTGAACATCCGATACAGTTGCAATAACAGCAATTGGATTTGTGGCAGTATATTCAACTATTAAATGTTGTATTGTATCGGAAATCCGATTATAATATTCACCATCTTGTGTTGGTTGATCTCCAGATGAATGTGCTAATACATCTAAATTTTCTAAAACTACTACGGACGGAGCATTTTTAAGACTCACCGAGAATATTGCACGCAAATCTTTTTGAATTGCTTCAGCCTAAAATTAATTACAAAACAAGTATGAAAAATTCATATGTATTTTCGCCAAATAAATATCTGAAATTTTGAAAACATGGATAGGTAATAGTGTCCTGTTTCTGGTTATCAGTATATGAAAGAATACTCTAGTAATTTAGAAAAATGTTAATTTTCAATTATAGTTATAACGTATTCTGATAAATATTGTAATCCAAATCTATTTGAATTAAAAATTGAAAGAAATAGTAAGCATATTTTTAGGCAAATTAAGCAAATTTTCAATAAACTTATTTACCATTAAAATGCCATTTTGAAAAGCTATTAAAACAAGTCTTTAAAAACTCAAAGCTGTTGAATTGTTTAATAGTAAATATAATTTACATTGAAATAGAGTGAATGTGACTGAAATTAAATGAATTATAATAAATGAGAAGCAAATATGTACATATCTATGTATTTTTTGTTTAAAAGCTTAAAAAATTAAAATATTTCCAATTTACCTTACGTCCTTTGTTTCTTGTACAATGATAAATATCGAAAAAAGAACAAAACGGTTTCTTTCCCAAATTATCCAGTATTTGTTCGACAATAACAGTTTTTCCAGAATTCGTAACACCTAAAAATTTATTGCGATTCTCAATACTAAACCAGAAATTTAAAAAAAAAAAATAGAGCATACCCGAAATTAAAACATTTCCTTGGCGTAATATTGAATTTCTACTATCTAAGCATAAATCCATTTTAAGCTGTTCAGTAATTTTATCAACAATATCTTGAAATTTTTCAATTTTAATCAAATCATCACCCTTTAAATGTAATATTGATTCACGTTTTTCATCTAATTCTAATAAATGATCAATTTTGTGTGCAGCATCTGCAGCATATAATTTACTTTCTTTAAGAAATTGTGCATCAATCAAACAATATTTAAAATGCTCTGGACTAATACGCACAGTAACAATTAAACCATCTTCAAGTCGTACTATTTCGTCTTGATTCAATAAGAGCGGTCCAGTTTTAGTTTTTTCTAATACATGACGTTTAAAACTATTTTCAATAATTTTATAATTAGTTTTGCGATTAGCAAATAATTCAATTTTTTCAACAAAATTTAGTACTATTTGCTTAGGTTGCAAAATTACTCTTTCCATTTCACTAATTTTTAAAATTTTCATTAAATTTTCATTAATTTCAATTGTACGATGAATATTATTAGGAAAATATGATTCGTTCTCACCCACTACTTTAATGTTTACATAGTATTCCTTTGTTTCTAGATTATCTTTTGAATTTTGTGGAACAGTAAGAACTTTTAAAAGATAACAATGTGTTAAATCCATAAATTCTGGTAAATTATTTTGTGTAACATAAACATCCGATATTTTAGTGCCTTGTTCCCATTTGCCTGAAATAACACGAAACTCAAAGGAACGATTATTTTCACGTTTTAAATCTCTCGTAAGTCGATCTAATTTTTCCGCTCGTGTAGTTTTATTAGTTAAAGATGGGCTACGCTTCACTGTTTGAATGTCTCTAATGGAGTTAGATCTTTGAAGTGTTGTTTGCATATTAGGCATATTAGAATATGTTTGAGATTTAGATAAACCAGACGATGCTGAAGAAATTGACGAATTCGATTGAGATTTTGACGGACGGTTAGAGAAGATATTTGGAAGATTTGCTTGTGATTTTGTTGTTGAAAGTGGTGTAGGAGGTAATGAAGCTGCTGATGATAAAAAAGAAGGTAAAGCTTTGGATCCATTTTGAACTTGTGATTCAATTAAATTATTTGAATTCAGCGACTTTGTTAAAGGATTAGATCTGTTTAAAATATCTTTAGCCTCTGCTATGCCATTTGTATGATGATTTTGAACTATATGATTAAGATTTGGAGTAACTATAATTTCAGTATTATGATCGATACGGCCGAATGCAACATTTGGTTTAACACGATCTGTAAAATCAATAATTTTTTATAAATTCAAGTTCATTTAATGCAAAATAAAAGAAAAACTTAATGTACATGCATACGTACGAGTACATAAATATGAATAGATATTCGTGTTTTGTAAATTTATTGAATTTGATATTCTTAGAAAATATTTGAACTGAAGCTTTTTGGCAATTTGCCAATTTGATGTCTATGGAATTCAAGAAAAATTATAGAAAATCTTTATATTGAAAATTTTATGTAAAAAATTTTTCAAAATAATTTTTTTCAAAAAACAATAACTTGTTGTTATTCTTTATTTTTTTCTTGAGGTACGATATAATTATATTAATAATATGTACCCAGCCTATTTTATAAGTTTATTTTATTCGTTAATAGGGCTAAATATTTTCAATTGCAAATTCAATTACAAAATAAAATAAAAATTGCTTTGTTTTTGTACAGCAAGTTAGTTTTTACAGCCATGATCACATGATTGAAAAAATTAAGTTTTCAAAAATCTAAAAATAAAATTATTGAAATCAAATAAAATATTTGATCAAAAAATTTAAATTACTTCCATTCATATTTTCATATTAATCACCCAATCTATTTATAAAATTCCCTCTTTTATACCAATTTATCAAATTTTATATTAAGAGACCGGAAATCAAAGTAGATACAATTATGTTACTTCGATTTTAACTGATGGATCTTGGATATCAACTACTTACCGACTGTGAAAGATACTGTCATACTCTTATTGACCCAAACCAATAAAAGTTGTGAACAATTTATGATTCTTGTTTGTTCCAACATTGTTGTTTGAATTCTGTCGGTGCTCATTTCCTAAAAATAAAAAATTTTCATGGTCATATAAACAAAAAACTAATCTATAATATAGTGAGTTTTACAATTATTTCCCAATCTTTAGCTGTAAGTGGTGTACAATATACAGATCTGAGGTGAATGACATCTGCTACAACTGAAACCTTTATTTCATCATTTTCATTTATTCCTACATATTCCAACAAATATTATTTACCATTTATTATTATATTAATATATTTATGGCGTAAATTACCTAATTCTTTAGCAACACGTGCATTCATTCCTATTTCAGTTTCTTGAACATTTCCTGAATATGGAACCCATGATACAAAATGGCTATGATTTCCTATAATCATACTAAGGCACCCATTATCCTAAAACATTTTTTTCTTATAAAACAATTTTATCAACATGTGTAAATATATTTTGCACTCACATAAGTAGAACAAAGATTATAATAATGTTCGGGCAATAAAACGAAACTATTTTTCATTGGACGAAAAACTATTTTAAAATTCCTACGAAACATTTTCTTTTTTTTTTTTTTCTTTATGCGCAAAATATGAAAAAAAATGAATTTTTCTTAAATCTTTATAAATTTATTTTTTAATGTAATTTTTTAAAAAAAAAAATATATTTTTTATTTGTAAAAAAAAAAATAATAGTATGTAATGTTATTCTTTGAACACCATTCGCAGATAAAAATCAAAACACCTGAGTGACGAAATAAAGGTAAACAATGCGGAAACGTCAAGAACATATGTTATGCGCCGACATAAGTATTGCCGTTGTTTTTAATAAATATCTTATGAATTCTCACAACTGTGCGCCATCTATTTTTGAATAGAAGAGTGAAAGTATACAGTTAAATTAATGTTAATAATTTGATTACAGAATTTTGAATAAGGTTGAACTGTTTGTACCAGATTAGAACTGAATACAATTGCAAAAATCAATCCATTTTGTAGTTCTGCAAAATTTTGCTAAAAAAATTAAAAATAGAAAAGTATTACTGCTTTGTTACAGCTGTTTGTTTGTTTTTTTTTTATTTCGACAATATTTTACTTTATTTGTTTTGTCATTTCTTAATTTGACATATTTTGTTCTACGTAAGCGTTTTTATTGACAAAACAACTTTTAATCACAATATTTATAGTAATTATGTTAAATTATCACTTAAGTAATTTGCTTTAAATAATATATTCTACGCACATATGTACATATATACATACATATATAACTTTATGTTCGCATAAATTAATCGAAAATTTTGCAGTGACGTTCTGCACTCATTTTCATTCATTTATAACAATTCAACTTAAAATTGGGACTATTAAATATATTATTAAACAGAAGTCCGATATGTAAAAAAGAGATAACCGGTTCTTAACGGATTTTATTTCTTCAAATCTACCCTCACAATAAATAATCATTATTATTCTGTTAGTCAAGCTACACTTGATGTGCTGCGATTTTAAAAAAAAAATCAATTTCGAAATTGTAAAAAATTACATACTAAATCGTTTGAAAAATATTCTATCACCCTGATGGCGGATTCGACTAACAGAATTTGAGTGAAGACATCCTTCAAAGTTATAACCAACTAGTTTTTTGTACTTATTAATGTATACATTCAGTGCAATACGGTTTATTATTCTTTTTGGACAAAAAGTCATACTTTTACAACTCAAGTCAACTTACTTTAATAATATCTGAATCTGCCATTTTGAAATTTAAAATTTTTTTGAATTTTAAATTTGAAAAAAAAAAAAGAAGTTTCAGGAGACAGCGACAAAATTTAAACTAGAAGTCTGCGCTACATTTCTGACATTTTTTTATTAAAGATTGAATTTTCGAACTCACTTTATCGCAGCCAGTAATTTTCGAACCATCTATTATTTTAGTGTATGTAGCATGAATTTTCGAACATGCTACAATCTAGAACTATTCTAGAACTAAATAAATGAAAATCCCGACTTAATAGAAGACGAGATTTCCAGTTCACATAGGTGTTAAGTAACAAAAAGAATGAATATTTTTACAATTTGTCATACTTACAACTTTATCAAATTCCTTATGTTATTTCGGATTCATGGGTTTGAACCTTCCATCTAAAACTTTAACACAAATAAAAAAAAAAAAAAACAAAATATAAAATTTTATAATTTTTATTTGAAATTTTTTTTTAGTATTTTATTTATGTTATTTTATAAAATTAATATTTGTTTTTTTTTTTATATTTTTTTTATTTTTTTTAATTTTTTTGCAAATTGACTAAAATGATGCCAAGAAATATACAAAAAAAAAATTGTGTATATATGCATATTAAATTAATTAATATTAAAAGATTTAGTTTTTTAAACAAATAAACAAAAATAAAATAATATAATTATGTATAAGAAAATTTTAATTTACAAAAAAAAATAGAAGCAAAAGAGAAAACACTCATATTTATACAAAATATGTAGAAAATTATTACAAAAGAAAAAATAATTTAAAAAATTTACAATTAAAAAAAAATATCATGCTACTTGTACTGAGTTTAAATATTTAGAATAAAATTTCATCGAGACAAGATTATTAATATTTAAAAGAAAAAATATAATATAAAAATATAAAATTTAAATTATACAAATTAAATTATAACACTCAGTAACAAAAAAATGCAAATTATAAAAAAGATTTATTTTATTTATTTCCTTTTTGTTAACTATTTATTTTAATAATGATAAATATTTAATTGAATAAAAATAAAATAAAACAATAAAAAAATAATGTCTTAGAATTTCCATAATAAAAATTTCATAATTGTAGAAAAGAATCTTAAAATTATTTATTTTAAAATTATTAATACACTGTTTTTTTATTTAATTATTTTTTTATGTTTTATAAGTAAAACTCTAGGATATGATCAAATTCAAAATAAAGTTCATTTTCTTTAGTTATTTTTGTTTTTTTTTTTTTTTTTATTATATAATTACATCTCATTATATTATAAGTATAAATTGATTTTTAATATTAATTTATTTTTTTTTTTTTTATTTAACATATATTTTTTATTTTTACTTAAAAATTAATTTAACAATATTTAACAAATAAAGAGAAAAATTATTACAATATTTTTTTAAAGAAGAAAAAAAAAATAAAAGAAGAAAATTTAAATATAATTTTTTTTTTTTGTTATTAATTTCAAATAAAGGAAATATTTTACAAAAATAGTAAATTTTATTTATTTATTTAAATTTTATTTAATATTTAATTATAATATTTTTTTTGCACATTTTTCTTTTTTTTTTAAATAAAAAAATTATTCACAACTTAATTTTAAATACTGATCTTAGATATTATATAGAAGTTTAAGGAAAATAATATAAAATGAAACACTTGTTTTTTATTTTAATTTTTGTTATTACATAATTTTGCTATTACATAATAATTACATAATGCTAATTACATAATGCTAATTGCTATTACAATTAATTATCGAATACCACCCCGACACCGGGATATTTTATAATTTTTCGAGTTTTTAGGAACTCGATTTGATTTTACAATAATAAAAAGAAAAAAAAAATTTAACATAAAAAATTTTAATATACTCAATACTTAATTAACAGAAAAAAGAAAAAAATGCATTTATTCTCGCTGTATTTAATTTAAAAAAAAAAATTCTGTTTTTGAGATTATTTTATATTTTATTTGAAAAATTGCTTATTTTTTTTTTTTAACTTTAATTTTAAATTATTACATTTTTATTATTTAGTAATTATTTAAGGTAAAAATTTTAATGTATATTTTGTGTATAAAATGTAAAAAGCACAAAATGATAAAAATACCTTTGTTTTGTTTTTTTTTTTGTATGTAGATATTTTTTTTATGTATAATTTATTTATATAATTTATATATAAAAAGCGATATAAAAAGCAGTAAATTTTTTAATTACAGGAGTTTTTAAAATCGTATAATTTTTTTTTTTTTTATTTAATGTATATTTTAAATATTTTATGTAGTCTTATTTAAAAATACCACAATAAGAATACATTTTACAAAAAAAAAAAAAAGGCTATGCCCCATTTTTTATATTAAATAAATTCATTAAATTTCAGCCTAGAATTTTTGCTTTCTAATTTATTTTCCTTGATTATGTTTCAATAATATTATTGTATTTTTATTTTTCTCTTGGAATATTATTCATTAATTAAGTTTCTTAGTTATAATGGTAATAAATTTTGATATAAGTGTTTATATAACTTATAAATTTTTTTATTGTTTTTAAAAACTACACATTATTTACAATTTTCTTAATTAAAGTTGGATAAAATGGCAATTATAGTTTTCTTATTTCGCAGCTTTTTTTTTAATATTTTCATAATTTTAAGAATTTTTGATTTTTTTTTTTTTTTTTGTATTAATAAGATTTATTTTAATAAAAAACATATTGTTTTCTTATTCAATAATTTGGTATATAAAATTATATTTTTAAAAATCTCATTTAGGCCACAAATATTTTTAATACGGAACTGAAACGATTTGAATTTGATTATTATATAAAATAGTGATTGAAGATTGGGAATTGAAATTTTAAGTTTGATGAAAACAAAAAAAATATTTAATTATGGTAATTATGGTATTTAATTTAAATAAATAGCATTACAAGACAATATAAAAGAACACTTTTTGTTGGTTCAATGATTCTTTTGAGTTTAAATTCTAAGACTGCTTTCCTTTGCTTAAATTTTAATTTAAGTCTTAAGGAAAAGCATGTTTCATAATTTATTGAACAGTGAAATTAATTAATATTGTTTTAATTTTTACGTTTTTTACCATAATGGAAAATAGCTTGATATTTGAAATTTTTATTTTACATGTAAATTGTATTAAATATTTTAATATTATAATTTTAATAAGAAATTGAATAAGAATAAGAGTTCCTCAATAAATTTTTATAATTTTTTTTTATAATATTTCTCTAGTTAATTACAATAAATTAAATGATAATCCCAAAAATTATTTATTGCAAATATTAAAAAATATATTTTAAAATTTTTATTTTTTTTTTTTGCTTCATATCATTTTATAAATTTGTGCCGAATATTTTAACAAAAGTATTTTTAATTTAATATATTAATTATAAAAATATATTATTTTATTTTTAATTGTTTTCATTTCTCTCAAATTTTGAAATTTTTAAATTTTATATAAAAGATATACAATAATTATAAATTTACAAAATAAATTTTCAAATATTTAATAAGAAAATGAAAACGAAAATGAAAACAGGAAAGGAAATTCTATAATTGTTTCACAAATTTGATACAAAAGAAATTTTTTTTTGATTTTCTTATTTTATAAATTTTTTAAATTATAATTTATTTGAAAATTAAATAACTTTTATTTTTTTTTTTTGTGTTGTTTTTATTTATTTAAACTTCTAATTCTTCCATTGTTCTTGAAAGTCGATTACTATCGATTCGGCGTCTTTGACTTCGTCTAACTGCATCTGCTCTTCGATATGGTTCACTTTTCAATCCTAATAGAATATCCTCTAAGGCACCATTATAAACTTCATCCTGTTGCAATAATTTCTTTTCACGGACGGCATTCGTCTTTGATTTTAATTCATTAATAACAGCTTCCTAATAATATTTAAAATAAATAAACGAAAGAAGAAGAAAAAAAAAGTATTCTTTAATTAATATTTAATTTAGAAAAAAAAATTTTTTTATTAATTATAAACTTATTTATTAATTAATGATTAAATAAACAATTTTTTTTTTGTTTATAGACAATTAAAACATAAAAATTTTTTTATGGTGTACATTTAAAAATAAAAATAGATAATAATGAATTAGAGAAAGTTGTATGTGTTTATTGAATAAAATTGGAAATTCTAATATGGTCGCTATAATCTTTTTTAAATTTCGGAATAATTAAATGTTAAAATTTTCTTTTTGAAAAGTACTATATGGGTTAAGGCACAGTCATTAGTAACAACAAAAAAAATATTTAAAGATTATTTTAATAAAGTATTTTTATTTAGTAATTTTAAAAAGATTTTCTTTTATAATTCTAAATGAAAATTGGTTCATGTAACCTACAGTCTTACTCGTTTATTAAGGTTTCTTAAATAATTTTTTTTTCTACAATTGAACAATTACTACCATTCTACTATCGCTTGTTTAACTGATTAGAAAAACAGAGTTTATAAGAATAATACTTAAAAATTCGAATATAAAAGTAAATTTTTCTAAACTACCCAAATTAGAGAAATATATTTTGTTTATTCTACTTAGCTCCTGGGAGGAGCATAGAGCTAGTATATGTTATCGTAGAGTAGATAATCATGAATCAGTTTCTCGGGTCATTGAATTTTACTAGGTAGGTGGTAGCTTTGTCTTCAAGTTAAATATTTAAGGTTATTGATATTTGCTGTTTTATTAAAGCTCTTTTATTAGAAAACGTATTTAAAGAACTTATATTTTATTTTTCCTGAAAAACAATTACTAGTCTTAATCTACGAATTTTTTCAAATTAATTTAAAAAATTAAATATGAATCAAAACTTTTAAGTATAATATTTTAATTTTTAACGAAAAATAAACATTTGAATATTATTGCTAAAAAATAATTATATACTTTATGTTATTATAAATCTAAATTTACTCTAAAATAAATTAAGTTCTAGTTCAGGAAAACTATTTTTTTCTACCGAATTACATAAAAATAATTTAATAAATTCTAATAAAACAAAAAATAAATTTAATGAACTGACTAATTGCCCAATGGTGTAATTAAAGCTATTCTTAAGTATTTCTTTTCGTAACTCAAAATATAAATTTTTATATTTATTTCTGATAGCCTTTAATTTCATTATACATAATATTATAATTTAGAACAAATTTATAGGCCCTTATTATGATCGGCGAAGCGAATGAAATTTTTGTGAATATGAATTTTTCGTATTATGATTAGCGAATTCGCTTAAATTTTTAGCGAATGAGCTGTCAAATCTGTCGAATGAAAATACTGTGTGACAAGTTTGGCGAATGAAACCAAAATTCAGAATAATACATAAGTATTTAATATTATATCATTTATAGTGATATAATGGAAAAATCTAAACTATCTGTAAAGTAAGTTGATAAAATTGTACAAATTATTGTAAGAAATATTGATTGTTTAATATTAATTTAAGCGTGGAAAAAAAACGAACCAAAAGCAATTCGAGCACTTAATTAAATTAATGGAGAACAACCCCAACATATTGCTAAAGGGATAGGAAAATTCAATTTGTTTTTGCATAAAAACAGAAATAATGTTGAATGAAAGCATTCACCGATCATAATTTAAAAATGTCATTCGATTCGCCTAGTCCATTCGACTCGCCTAGCCATTCACTTCGCCAATCTATTCCGGGTAGTAATGTTTATAATAATTTATCTCTAATATTAGGAATATATGAAATTTGTTATTTAGCTACTAAATTTGGGGCAAGGAAAACTATTTGAATTTAAGGATAAAAAAATTTAAAAATTTCATTATATTAAAATTTTTGTAAAATTTAATTTAATTATAAAGAAATAGAAATAGTTGAATGCTTTTTGGATTGAAAGAAAAATGGTGGCATTAATTTAATTTTAAAGAAGGGAAGCATTTCCAAAAGGAATTTTAAAAAAAGTCTTAACCAAATTAAGAAAATAGTAAGCAATTTAGTAAAAATTTTTCTAATAGGATGGAATTTTCAAAATAATTAAAATACCATGTTCTAATATCAATTTAATCTAATTACTAAATATAGAATATTATAGGTGGGAAAAAAAATAAAAGTAATTTTATGTAAGTGGGAAAATTTAATGAAAAATCCAACCTTAAAAATTATAAAAATAAAACAAAAATTAAAAATTATTTTAAACTTACATTTACTTTTTTTTTATAGTTTAATTTTATTTTTTTTTAAACATTCAGGATTCGAAGTTTATTTTTTATATAAGTAGTATAGATAAATTTTTGTTATCATTATTTTATTTAATATGAAATTTTTTACGAAATTTAGTGCAATGAGTTTATTTTTTTTTTTAATTCAAATAATTTGTAAAATGTGCATTTAAGAAAAAAAAACAAAGTAACTATGATAAACGAAATTTTTATGAAAAAAATACTTTAGTAATTAAAATTGAAAAATTTTATTTTAAATAAAACTAAAAGATTTAAAAAAAAATAAACAAGAGCAGAAAAATGCGATGAAAAGAAATAAAAACAAAATGACGCGAACATTTTTCCAACAAAAACAAACAAAAAACAAATAAAAACACAATCTTTTTTTTTATATTTATGCAAAATTTTTAGAAAAAATTAAAAATAAAACACTAAACAAAAAAAAAAAACGAAAATCAAATAGATTTTAATTCAAATGAACAAGTTGCTTATGAATCAGAGTATTTTCCATAGCCACATAACCAAATTTCTAGTTTGGGAAAGAAAATGACAAAAAAAAATAAAAATAAATAAATAAATAAAAAAATTAGAAATCTTAATAAAATTAAAAAAAAAAATTACAATACTAAAAAAAAAAAACAAATCATTAAAATTAAATAAATAATAAGTGTATTAATGTGTGTGTGTGTTTGAATACTTAAAGAAAACGTGTCACAAGCAAATTAAGCACTCTAGCATCACAGACAAATTGTTGCTTTATTTATTATGTTTTCACAATATGCGAGAAAAAATTTCGTAAATTTTAAAAATATTTTCGACAAAACTTTTAACGGGTGACATTTTTACTATTTCGTTTATCGTGTTTTTATTTTTGAGATCTAATTCGTTACAATTGTCTATTTCAATTTGGTAGTCTAGTTTAATTTGTCACTTCTCTATTGAGAGTCAAATATTGTGGTCCATATGGAGATTATATGGACCGCAACATTTGACTCATTATAAAACATAATTGAAATATGCAAGTAAAATTTTTAATTTTATAAAAAAAAAATTTATTTTAATCGAAATGGAAAATTCACACTGATATAATTGACCAAGGTTATGTTCATATGCATAAAATTAAAATTGGAGTAAAAATGTATATCCTTACAGATCTAAGATTTTGTTATAGGATGAAAACACTCAGAAGACAAACAGAAATAACAAAATATAAAAAGAATATATTGGGCTAAGAGATATAGAAATAAACTCCTAAAGAAATTTTTACTAAAATTGTTTAATTAATTTCATTATATAAAAAATTCTTGATTGATAATTGGCTTTTTAATATCACTATTTAATGACAAATTAGAAAAAAATGAAGATATCAACAATATTCCTGCAATATTCCTGTACATATGCATAGGAAATAAAAGCAGAGACTATCAAGCTAGGAACTTCATTCAAGATTAATTAATTAATTATCTGGCAGCTTTTTTTTCTTATATAATATTAACTTCGATGTTAGATAATTTTTCAACACTTTTTTTTTATTAAAAACAAAATCTGTTATTCGTTATTTAAAATACAAATTATGAAAAAAAAAATTTGCTTAAAAAACTTACTATTTTTGATATTTTATTTCGTGCAACGCCTTTCTTAAGATTTTTGAAAAATTTATTTAGATATTATTGAAAACTATACTCGTATTATAAACTTCCATTAAAAAATTTAAGGAAACATAATGGAAACTGAAGTTGATTCAGAAAGAAATTACAGCACATTTGAACGAAAATGGAAATTACATTGGAACTTTAATAAACTATAAAAGTTAAGGAAAGACAAAAACTTAAAAATTGTTAAGTATTTCGAAATGAAATATGAATGAAATATCACAATTGTTAAATGAAATTTTAAACCTCTTTTCTGTACTGCATTTTTAATCACTTTAAAAATATTATTTTTAATAATAAATTATTTGTATTTTTCTATTAAAATTTAAAATCGAATTTTTTCACAATATTTTCTAGAAATTGGATATCCTTGTGTAATGTTTTCAGCCTATAAAAAGAAAAAATTAAGGAATTTGTGAAAAATGAAATTATTGTAGTCATTTATGTAAAAAAAAAAAAAAGAGATTATCACCAAGAAGCCAAGCATATTTTCATAATTATAAAGTAAATTAGTTGTTAAAAAACAAAAGCAATATTATGATAAAATATGAAAAAAATCATTAATTAATTGATGTTTGCATTGTTAATTTTATAATTTATTTAATTAAATGAATATATTAGCTGCCAGATGAAATCTATAATTGGTATGAGAAGTAGTTTAATGATTTAGATTTAATAAAAATGATTTTTGTATGTAGACATTAAACAATTTAATTTTATAGACAATGATTTTTAAAACTATCAATTTTTGTTAAGTTGATCTCAACATTAAATTACAAGTCTCGTTTTTTCACAGTAGCATGAACTTATTTTTATAGAATGGCTAAATGAATTTGTGAAAAAATATTGTTATTTAAATATAAAGTGCCGAAAGAATGTGGTATATGTGTGACACAAATAGAAAACAAATTTGTGAATGAACTTAAAAACTATTTCAAGTGAAAACTTAAAATTAAATACATTTAAATGTTCCTTAAATTAAACTTATTTTAAAGTCTATTACTCAGTTTGGAAAACATCTAACAAAATTAAAAGTTCTAAAAAAATTATTCATTTCATTAATGTTTAGACTGGATTTGATTTAATTTAATATATTGTAACAAACCAAGAAAATTTAAAAGCAAAATCAAGAGTCTTGTTTTAATTAATTAATGCCATAACTTTTCCAAACTGTTAACAATTCTGAATTTTTTTTTTCTTATATTGTTAAATTCTAGAAATATTTTTTTAAAAAATAATACCCTTCTTATAACAAGTACATAAAATTAATTGCAAATTTTCCTGATATGCTTACTTGTTGTTTCTTTTGATTTACTTTATTCCTCATAATAACTTGATCATTTTCTTTTTTGCTTGCTGCTAATGCTGCAGCTTGTTCTAGCCGTCTTCGTTGCTCATTTTCTTGATCAATATTCTAAAATATAAAATGATTTAATAAATTATGTAAATTTAAAATTATAATTTCTCATTACAAAAAAATCGCAATTGTAAAAACAAAAATAACGAACCTTAAATGCTCTAGTAAATCTTACAATCATTGAAAAGAATGCACTTGCATCAGCACTTCTAGGTGATTCACCAAAATATTCAACACATTCTTTAAATGCATCCTGGGCCAATTTCATATCGTTTTTAATTTTTTTTAATTTTTCTTCTGAATTATTTAAGAAATCTTTCAATATATGTATTTGTGCACCTTTTATTCTTAAATCCGTTTCTTTTCGCACCATTTCCATACCCTTTTCTAATTCATGCACATCAGTTATAACATTTTCTAATGATACTTGTGAAGCTTTATCAATACAAAATAGTTCTGTATCGAAATTTAATAAATCTGGAAACTTTTGTCTTATTGTAGCAACAATATAGTGTAATAACGATACACGTTTATCAGTTGATTTTGTATCTAGTAAAGTATCAAGACTCTGTAATTTAAAACCATATGCAGGACCTCTTTTACTGCTATTTAAATAATTTCCAAATGCAAGAACTATTTCTAACACAGCTTTAAATTTACGTGATTGTTTAAGTGAATTTGCGGCAGTAGTTATTGAATAAATTTGCTACAATAATAAAAAAAAAATACATAGAAGTTATGGGTTACATAAAATATTCAATTAAATTATCTTACTGGACTTATTAAATGTAAGGAATCGAAGAAATTTCCCATATAATTCATAATTTGCAATTTTGATTGGATTCTTTCTACTCTTGTTAGCTGTAACATAAATTTATCTTCATCCGTCAGTAAATTTTGATCTTTCTTTTCCCCAATATATTCTTTATATGCCTTAATTTCAACATCAGTTGGTACCATTTTCTGTAATATTTCTACATTTTCCAACGATAATTTTTTCAAATCGAGACTATTTATTGCAGCTATGCAATCATCGATTGGCATATCTAATTTTCGACGAGATATTGCTAAAAGAAATATTATAAAAATTAGAAGAACTGAAACTTTTTACAAGTTTATATTTCTGAACAATTACCAATATTTCGTAATCTCGTGTGTTCCAAAACAGAAACGCTTTCTGGCTTCTTATAACGTTTACTTGGGAATGTCGATAAATTACCATCCAATTCTTGGGTTCCATTTGACATTGGTCCACCAACTCCAATTTTAAACCGTTCTTCAAAATCGATGAAATCAATTTGTTTGTGTATTTTTTCATCATCTAATTCATTGAAAATTGTACCACGAACCTAAAAATAAATAATATTCAATAACAAACATATCCGTAAATAATTTCTTTTCTCTATACTTGATTTGGTTTCAGTGCAATCCAATTAAGTGTTGGCAATTTATATTTTGTTTGAACTTTACGTTTGATTGTCATCGCTCCATCTGGGGCTGGCATATGACCAGCAACTGGTGGCGCAAATGTCGATAGAAACGGAGGAGCTCTAGGAGGATTGAATTTATTTGGACCACCATCTGGCATGCTGTAACCATTCATCATATGGATATTATTATTTCCCATCATTGGTGGAGGAGGAGGAACTGGCGGCGGTGGAGCTGCTGTTGCGACTGATGGCATTGGAGGTGGCGGGGGAGGAGGAGGTGCAGGTGTCGATGTTATATTTGTCGAGATATTACCCTTCAGAGAATTCGTTCCATTACCATTATGATAATCTCCACCATTCATAGTAGAATGGTTGCTTCCGGATCTTGGAAGAGACAACGTTAAGCTTTGTAGTTCTTGATTTTTGCTTTCTAACATTGAATCACGATTTCTTAACTCTTGCTCATTTTGTTTAACAATCTTAGTTAATGCGGCAATTTCTTCTTCTGCTTTACATTTATATTGTGCCAAATTATCACGCTCTGCTTTAATTTGATTATACTCTGATTCCAATTCAGCTAATTTACACATGAAATCTCTTTCCATTTCAGCTGTCCGATCCATACCTCGACCCAAATCATCTTCTAGCTCTTGTACGCGTTCAAGAGCAGCTAAAAATAATAATAATTACATATGTAAAAAATAATATCAAGGATATTTGATTACACATTTTCTTAATAAAATAACTTACCAGTTTTTGTTTCAGAATCTTCCATGAGCGCAGCTACATCAAATACATTATCCAAATAAGCTGATATTTGAACTTGTAACTCTTCGGATTCGGTTAATCGTAACTTTTCTAAATATTTATCTAATCCAAGTGCGGTAAATTCATATTGCAAGTGAACTCTATAATTCATATTATCCACTGAATGTACAACAATATTAACGAATTGCATGCATGCTACCATAAAATCAACATTAAAGCATTCATAATTCATAAAATAATCCATGAGTGTTTGAAATCTTCGATCTTCTTGGCACACTTCCTTAAAATTATCAAATGCTGATAAAATTATTTCATGACCACCATTAACTAAACAAATGGCTGCTAACAATTCTAATACTAATGCTTTAGTTCTTAATGATTTATGTATTAAACTAAGTGCTATACAATTGATTGCTTCCCTATGTTGTATCACCATATTAAATCCATATTTATTATTCATTATTGCTCTTAAACACATTATACAAACATGGATATCATCTGTTGAAGCACCCATATTTAATTTGGCTATATGTCGTGAACGTCGTTTTATTGTTGGACTATCAAGCACTTCACCTAATGCTGGACGTATAAATCCATTTGTTGTGCTATTACTTTGATTACTTAACTTTGAATCATTTAATATTGAATGATGATGATGATCATTAGAACTTGATGTATTTACATTATTTGATGTACCCGAATTTAAACGTTCGTCAGATTCAAAACGAGCTTCTTGAATACGTTGTTCATGTCGCATCATTAATAATCGAAAATTTAAATAATATACCAGAGCATCTAAACCTTTATTTTCATCATCTAAAAATTCTTTTACCCATTCAATATGATTAGTACGTAATGATATTTCTAAATCGCGTAGCACTTGAGTTGATGTTGATTCACCAACTATTTTACGTTTTCTATGACTACGTGAAGCTTTTGGATCTAAATATGTTCGTAATTTGGTTAAATAGTGAGATGGTGGATCTTTGGCGTGCACCATTTCCTAAAATAAAAGAAAATAGTATAATGTTATTTATTTGTTAATTAACAAAAATATTTATAATTTTTAAAATTCCAGATTTTCAAAAATAAAAATAATCTGCGTTGCAATCTAAATTAATTGGATTATTATATACATATGTAGAGTATTCTATACCCTTAAATGAGGAAGACAAATGTTTTTGTTATTGCTTCCATTTGCATTAAATATTTTGGCCCCTTTTTCAACTTGTGAGCTAAAATCATCATAAAAGCATGTTAATATTGGTTTCTTTATCTTCTTATCTAAGTTATCATCCACGTTGAATTTTAGAAAGAACGCCTATATCTCTAATTTATGCTTTCTAAATCGCTAACACGTTCATATTCGCTCAAATACATACAAACATAGTTTATTTCAGTGAAATAACATTATGTAAGTATACGCATATGTAAGATTGTGTACTTCAACTTTAAAACCAATTTATTATAATAACAATAAAATTTGCAAAATAACCAATTTCAGGAAAATGAAAGCACTTAATGTTTTTTTTTTCTTTCATAATTCTTGTTCACAATCATCAACATCCGTTTGAAAATAATTTTAAATTACTTAAATTGAAATATAATATTTTGACAAAAACGAAGAAACACACAAAAACAAATTTATATGTACGCAATTTATGTAAGTATATAAGTACATCTGTGTGTATGCGAATAGAAGAAATTCAAATACATAATTTAAAAAGTTCATAAATAAAATCGAGCTCAATGGAAATGCAAGTCAAAGCAAAATAAATTCATTTCACGTGATTTAATTTTTTAAATAAGTGCAAAATTTATTTTTATTATTATTTTTTTTTTCCGCTATTTACTTTATTTACTATATGTTAATAAATTGAGACAAGTTATTACTACATGTGTTTGAGCGTAATTATATTATTATTAGAATAAGAGAACGAGACGGGCCAAATTTTAGAAAAAAAAATTCTATTTTGTCAGATTCTGCAAAATTCAACAATTATCCTCACTTCAAATACGGTAAAATACGATATTATAATAGTACTTACAACCTTGTAATTATTATTTAAAATTTTATAAATTAATTCTTGAAATGTCACTGTAAATCACGGAAAAATTGAATTAATTACGCGTTAATTTTGAAAACACGTATTACAATTAGAATCAGAAGATCTTGTTGTTTTGGCTTACAATTTATTCCATCGATTACAATAGCAAATAATGCTGTTACAATAATAAATTCGAATAATCGATTATTGGAAATGAACACGAATATTACATACAAAAAAATACCTATGTACGTCATTGCTAATAAACAAGCACTAATTTAGTACAATTACCTTATAAAAATAAGTACTTTTATTTTACATTTGGTAACTCTGCCTTAAAATATTAAATTTCACAAGCTATTCAAAATTTTTTTTTTATAATTCAATTTAAACACAAAGCAAATGCCAATGTTTTAAAAGAAATGCACTTTTTTTTTGGTTTTTTTCCTGTATAGTCAGTCAATAAATTTAGTGATTTATTTATCAGGAAAAATTTTCTAATTGTATATTCGGTTTTAGGTATATATGTGTTTCATAAATTTTCTTTTTCATGTACAAACTTGCATTTTTATAAAATAAAAAAAAAATGTTATAATCAACAAAATTGATTCATTTAATGAGATTATTTTACATTAGTACCCATTCGTTTTATAAAATAATTAAAAATGAATTATGATAAAGCCGATATAATTAAATAATTTTCAATGATTAAAGAAATTCAAACATATTTAATTGTATTTTTTTTATTCAACACGATTAATTACAATAATTAATTTAATAATAATTATGTGAGAAAAAGAGATTTTTTGTTTTGCCTCTTCAATATGAAAGTGTACTCGAAAAACCACATTTTATACTGTAAAATTAAAGCTTAATACGAGTATTAAATATTAAATTGGATTAATCAAAATATTTTGTTATAAAGAAAAATAGTCCGACATTCTAAAATTCGAATAGAATAGACTAGACAAAATTTTTAAAAACATTCTTTTCATCAACATTCTGCTGTTAGCTATTAATATGTCATTCAGGAGAGAAAATATGTCACTTATGACATTTTATTCGCTCATAATTTGACATGTTGATGAGAAACTTATTTCTGGTCCTTTATAGTACTAAGACTGGAAAGTGCCCTCCTGCACATAACATTTTTTATTATAATTCTATGCTCAAATTAGTATGGGTCCTTATTTCAAAATGATATGAGTGCCCCCTAATGAAATACTCTCCAAATACTGATAGAACCGTGCCTTAATATTCGCTAATATAAATTTAATAGTTTGTAACATTCATTTTTATTAAGTAAATAAATTTTGTGTATTTGACACGCAATCTTATGTATGAACACAGACACCGCCTCTGTTTATTCTAAAGTATATATGTATATATACATACACTCGTACATGTAACAATCATATTAACATAAAATCAATTTCTTTTCTGATTTAATTAAAAAACAAATGAATAAAAAAAATTATTAAATTAAACTATTGTATTACTCAATTGCTATTATTTTTTTTAAATTACATTTCGTCACTATTTACTTACATACATACATATGTATATGAATTTTAGGTACCAACTATGTATTGAGATTTTGTTGAGCAACAATAAGATATCATGTTTCATTTGTAAATTGTTTTTTGAAATAAACAAAAAAATAGGAACAATTACAATAATAATTTAGCAAAAAAAACGCACTATAACGGTAATAGTCGCAACTATAGCAATAGAAAAAAAATGAACTAGCAGCAGTAGACAGCATCAGTTATAAATGGAGATAAACAGATGAAATAATATGCAACGAGTCAAGAATATTTTACGAAAAATTAAAAAAAAAAAAAGCATACTGGAATGAATGAATCCAAAAATGAGAAATCAAGAAAAACAGGTCTACTATCTTTTTTTACAATTTAATTTTTTTATTTTTTTAGATTATCTTTTTCCAACCAGCGACGACACCACTAAATTTAAAATTTTTTAAATTTGTTTTTATTTTATGTTTTTTTTTAGGTTAGGTTTCCGCATTTATTTTTATTTTTTCCTTTTTCTTCATTATTTTGCTTTTGCTTCTTTCTTCATAAACTCAAATTCATTTCTTATTTTTTCGTTATTTATCAAAAATTGAGCGCGATAAGAAAGAAAAAAAAAATTGAAAACCGTCAAATCGCGATAAATTCCAAATTAACTCAAAACCATCTGTGCGCATATTTTGTTATTTTTTTTTTTTTAATTTTTTTTTTTTAGGGTTTTTATCTTTTATTTCTTAATTTTCTACATTATTTTTTGCTTTTATTAATGATATGACCTTTATATCAATAATGATAAATCCAGAATTAAATTCCATAATTTGTTTTTCTTTTTTTTTTTTGTAATTTTTAATGGGTAAATGTATATAAAAATTTAAAATACAATAAAAATAAATAAGAAAAATTTGATTAAATTGATGATTCTTGGCAGATGAAATTTAGCTTGATTTTGACCCCTTTTTTTTTATTTACTTGAACTCTTTTTTTTTTTATTAATATTTTTTATCTGTGTTCTTTTCCTATTTTAGGATTTGGTTCAAGTTGAACCAGTTTACAAAATGGAACAGGTGCTGAATAAAAATTAAATTTGAATAGAAATTTCAATAAAAATTTAATTTTAATAATTTTAAATTTAATACTCGTAATAATGAAATTAAGTACTTATTTACAAAAGTAAAATTAGAAATCTGAGGGAAATTCAAAATTATTGTAATAAATAAGGGCAACTACTTGTATATTGAACGAACAATTGTATTGAACGAACAATGATTTCGAAATTTCAAAATCAAGAAGTATTTCCTTCAAATATTTAATTCTTAAGGTAAATTATTTGCGCTAATATTTCCTTGGTGAAATGCCAATTTCTAGCAGAGTTCTAGCAGTATATAATTTTTATTAGTTCATAATTAATTTATTTATTCAATTTTAAGTATCTTCATTCATTTTACATTTGTCATATTTTGTGATAAACGCCAAATTTTGTAACCCATAGTTTTAACACGGAAACAATTTTACCTAAATTACTCTGACATCCGAAATGCAGTATTAATTTACTACAGCGTACATATGTGTAATCCATATTGCAAAATAAAAAATTTACACAATGTAACATCAAGAAAAAAATCAGCGTAATGAGAAAAACGAGACAACAGTGCAGTTACTTTTAAATTTTTACAACGTATTATGTTAATATTACAGTTAAACTGTAGTAAAACTTTTTTCACTGCATTTTGGATATCATGGTTAATTAACTAAATTTTTGGGATCTCATTTCAAGTCAATTAAATAAACAATATAGTCAATACAATAAACATTAATATTTTATTTTATCAAAATGTTCACATAATTCAATAATTTTTTAGTAATTAAGATTAAAATTTTCTATTACATTATTGTAATTTAATAATTGTAATTAATGAAAGCAAATATTTATTATTTGTAAATTTACCCAAATATTTCATCACTTTAAATTCAAGTATAACTACAAATTATCTATTGTATTTAGATTTCAATTTTAAATAAATTATTCAATTAAAAAAAGCTCAAAGATCATAATAAAATATATAAGTAAATATTTTTTTCCAAACTTTAGTTCTTAAATCAAGAAAAAAGAATAGTAAATAAAAGCAAACTTTTATTTATTAATTTAATAATTTTTTCATCTTCTTCATTACTGATGTGCTAGTAAATGTGAATGACATTTACTTTTAAAAAAATATCATTCACAATTTCTCAATTTCCTTCGTAATTTAAGTAAGAATAATTTCAATAATAAAGAATTTTTTTTTATTTTTGTCTTCATTAAAAAATAAATATTACTCATCGAAATTTAAATTTTTTTTTTAGTAAAACTATAGTAAAGTGAAATGAGTAAAATAGCTTTTTGCAACGTTTTCCTTGAAATTTTTCTCAATACCTCAATGAAT